TATATACTCAATTCTTTATCTAATGGGTTGTCCCTGAGCTATTCCGATCTGACTTTCTTATTGKTTTTTTAATCCATAGATCATGAAAGTGATACTTTTGCTGTCAGTGTTTGCTGTTTGCAGTGTTGCCAGGCATGTGTCCGTGCAGAGAGAGCCATCATTCTGTCATGATTTAGAGTGCCCACACTTCACTGTTAAGAACAACACATCAGAATACCAGGAACGGTGCTATCAACAATACAAATGGGTCTCGACTGTTGTCACAGGTAACGTTTAATTTGACGCGCTCACTAAAATTGTAGACTGAGTAACGAGMTCGCTGGATGAAAAAATAGATGAAAGAAAAAGAAAAAAAAAGTGAAAATAAAATAATATCAAACAAGTTGAACAGGCTCCGAAGGAGAGAAGTCACAGTAGCTTCTTCCATACTTTACGATTTCTGCTCATCTTTCCGAGACCAAATCGTCTACAAAGATTAAATTATAGTTCTCGGCGTGTATATTTACTGTCGATTCTGCTTGTCCACCATTATGAATTCGACTCTGCCACCTAGCATCTGGACAATCACGTTCCGTTCCTAAAACAACCCGAAGTTTGCTTTCCTACTATCATAGATYCTCTCCTCTAACACACTCCTGTTCATTTTTCAGGCGATTCATACATGGAAGATGTGCGCATGGGTTTCATGCGTTTRTTTCATTACATCGAAGGCAAAAATACCAAATCAGCGAAGATACCTATGACAGCTCCTGTTCTCGTTCAGATCCAGCCATCCTATAAAAACAAGTTTACTGTTAACTTCTTTGTACCATTTAACTTGCAAAAGAACCCAATCCCTCCTTCATCTAAAGACGTGTTTGTCTCTAGCCTTCCTAAGATGTGTGTTTATGCTAAGTCCTTTGGTGGGTTTGTATTTTCTGAGAGTAAAGTACAAGAGAATGCAGCTGTTTTGAAGGAAGCTCTAMATAATGATGGCTTACAAGATGCTTATCATAAAGACTTTTATTATTATGCTGGTTATGATAGTCCGTTTAGACTTGTTGGCCGTCATAACGAAATCTGGTTTGTTAAGAAGTGAAAACTTAGTACGCTTGACATGTTATTCAACTTGGGCGTTTCCCAATATTAATTCTTATTCATGTAACTGAATTCTATTGCGATATTTTCCTGTTTTTTTTTAGTGAACTCGTGTAACAAAACTCGCCCAAGGGTTCGGAACCTAAATAATAAATTTTATTTGTACATCATATTCTCGCCATGGCACGGAATCAGGGAGTACAGACACTTGGAATCCGGAATCCGCGGCGATGGAAAMGGATTCATATAGAAAAAGAGAGAAGAGAATCATTGACCCGGCAGATGTTTTCTTAATTGAAAATATGTCACTGAAAAGCGAGGATACTTTGCATTTGRAATYYCATATCCTGAATCCGGAGYCCAGAAACTGTCCAGATTCYGTGTCATGGGGAGACAAAAGACGCAAGCTTAGGCTTATCATAATACTGTATATATGTACTCATTTATATCATTAAAAGTCATTGTTTTTCAATAAGTTGYCGTAGTGTCTTCACTAACCTAAGTCTTTGCACGTACAAGTMCACAATTTTTCGGATATAACGAAAGCCAATAGTTGAAGACGATTTTGGCGCCATTTTGTTTGGGAAGGGAAAGTCTCGAAAAATATCAAAGAAACATAAATCGATGTCAAATTATTGTAACGGAGATACCACCAAAAGATATCTTCAAAACTGGCCAGTTTTGAAGGACTTCGTTGATCTAGGAAGCGAATTGCTGTAAACTCAGTAGTTCTCCATACCGGTATTTCTTTGTAATTGGTAATTCTTTGTAATTGCGCCCCCCTCCCTTGGGGGAGGAGGGGGGGGGGGGGGTTAGGGTTAGGGTTTGGGTTAGGGTTAGGGTCAGACGGAAACCACAGGAAACCCAATTTTTATCATAGGTTTTAAAGGACTATGCATACCGCATTCTTTGTAAGAGTGTTAAGGCTGTAGTGTATAACTCTAAAAATAATCAAAAATAAAATCTAAACGTACCACAGTTTTCGTGATTTTATTGTCCTCTGGTGGTTTACTTATTCGCTTTGGCGATTTTTAGCTGAGCAGGCTGTGATTGTTCCAAGTGTTAAGTTTACATGTATATATATGTTTAATCACAAAATTTATGATTCAAATTTATTTTCTCTTCAAACGATCTTTTAAGGTTGACTTTTATTAAACAATAGCCTATTTGTTTGTTTTTTTTTTTCATTTTTGCGAAAATACTAGTAGTAAAAAGTATGTAGTTATTCATTGCAAAATATCCTAACTTACCGCTT